CCGGGACAAAAATGCGAGAAAATAAACAGAATTTCTGTTGGAATTTTTTTCTTTTGGTTTCTTCATTGTATGCTGCTTAACTGCCAAAGATGAACATGAAACAAGAATTCCGAAATATTTTGTTAAAACAAGAAATTCAATAATTTCCAAATAAGTCTTTGATTGGTGGGGGGACAGAAAAAAAATACAGGCAAAACAAACAAAGGAATGAGACAATTTTGGGATACAATTGGCGTTTTTTTGGTTGATTTCTTGAGAATTGCTAAAAAGACAATCCTGAGGAGGATGCTTTGAATTCTGTTTGAAAATGGTTTCACAGAATACAATTGGAAACAAAATTAGCTACAATTAAGGTATAATTTGGGGTTTTTCTTAAAGTGCCTCGAAAATGTTTTTAAAGGGAATTTATTTCATTATTTTGTGGAAAAGTTAATAAAAAGTTCCTAAATGGTTAAATTCAAAGAAGTTGATGCCCAAACTTTAATTGGATGTTGATCAATTAATTATTTTGTGGCACATCCGTCGTTTTTCTTAATCAAACTACCTTTTGTCTGCTTACATTGGCCCTCATTTGCTATGCACTTGTTTGGGTGGTGTATAGAAAAAAATGGGTTTGGGGGTAGGGGGAAACTCTAAATGCCTATCAAAGTCCCTTTTATATCCACATCCCATGTGGGTGTTTATAAATGATTTCTTTTGGCAGATGGCACACTTTTGCCTAGGCGGCGTCCGCCGCCATACCATTGACTGATGGTAATTAACGATTTTCATCTAAATGACACCCACCTTCTAACCTGGACCATAGGGCCCAGCCAACGCCTTGCTGGCATGTAAATAACTTAATGAAGATGCTTAACAGAAAGAAAAAAATAAAACAACTAACCCCAGACCTTTTCCGTTTCCGTTTATTTGCATACCATCGGCAAATACAAAAACCCAAAAGATAAACTCATAAATAACTAATTAAAATTTTTTATAATTTTATTTGAGTTTTATCAATGATGCTGACTAACTTGGCGTAAAGCCAAACAGTAACCCCCCAAAAAATGCGTGGTAAATTTTGTTGTATTTTTTTGTATTTGTTTGCGTTTTGTTTCAAATCAAATATTATTTTGTATTAAAAATTATATTGAGAGTGGCAGTTTGTTGTTGTCTTTTTTTTAATTCATTGGAAGTTTTTTTTTTTTTTTTGTATTTCTGCGTAGGATGCTAATTATTGTTTACCACCAACATTATTTTTTTTTATATTTCTTTCATTTGCTTGCTTAAGCTTTCTTTGTTTGTGTGCTTCGTCTCGTGTTCCATGTATCTCTTCTTTGTCCAGCCCACCTATTTGTTGACAATTATCTTTAATGTTGAGGCTTATGGCAAAGGAAAAAAACTGCAGAGAGACCTTCTTTGAAAGCAAAATAAACAAGAAATTATTATTTTTCAATATTTTTCCTTAATTTTTTCATTAATTTTTATTTTATTGCGAAAATGTACAAAAAATAAACAAAAGACTTAAGAAACAAGCACCATTTGCAAGTGGAACATGCGCCAAAGAGCATTACTCACCGTAGTCTGTGTAGTGAGAGAGAGATGGAGTGTGAGAGTGAGAGAGAATGGAAATAGTGTGGCCTAATGCAAGTTTGTTTCTTAAGTCTTTTCATAAAACAGCAATGCTTTTAATGGAATTTAAATAGATTTCATGTAATTTTCTTATTTTAAATACAACAAAGACTGAAAAAAGAAATTTGACTCAAATTACAATATTTCTAGAGATGTGGCGTCACGATTTTAGTTGGATTTAAAATAAATTAAATCAATTTAAGGCATAATTGAGCATCGAAAGATTCTGTTTTTGGAGGGATTTTAAAAGAGAAATTTAGGAGTTTTTATTTATTTTTTTTTAATTTAATTTGTATCCTGTGGATCCCCATCTTTTTCTCTTACACCAGGGAGTTGCCTTAAAATACACACATATTAATAAAAATGTTGAGCTGGGAAGGTGAGACATCTTGATTTTGTCTTATTCCGTTTCGAAGTAAATTTTAAATTTTTTCTTCTTTTTAACAAAGTTTATTAAATATTATTATTATATTTTTTATTTTATTAATATTATTATTGCTTTATATTATTATTATTTTATTATTATTATTATTAATATTATTATTATTATTATTATTATTATTATTATTATTATTATATTATTATTATATTAAATATTATTTTCAATAC